TAAAGTAGTTAAATCCAGGTAATACATAAGTGGGATATGAAATACTCTGGTAGATTTAGGTCGCAGATAGTAGTCAAGATCTGTCTGAGCCATAATGTACTTAATAATTAGTGTATAAAATAATTGTATTATATAATATATACAACAAAATATATACTTAATAAAAAAGTCATGAGGCATGATCTCACCTTAAAAAAAAAAAAAAAAAAAAAAAAAAAAAAAATTAATAATTATACGAAGCTAAGCATATCTTCTCAGAATTTTTTGTTTTTTTTGTTTTTTTTTAACTTATTCACTTTTTCGTTCACTTCACTAACATATATCTCTTCCATGTTGTTGTTCACACTTAATTTACGACATTCTCTTAATAACATTTTCCAATAATCTTCTGACTACATGGATTTATACCTTTGGCCGAATCGCTGCTTTCAGCCTGCCTCACATTCATCAGTAGCTGTCTTTTGATATTCAATGGGTACTTCATGACAATGATAATCTATTTGTTATCTCTTGCGTATTTGGTGAGTTTGCTGGTATATATGTGATTCGGACGTTTTGTTATTCGATATTAAGTTTAATTTTATCGGCTTCCAAGAAATATATATATATTTTTTTAGAATTTGAGAATGCGGATATATATAATTTGCAATATCTTTACCAGACATTTGAAAGTATCGGTATTGGATATGAGATAAACAATTTTTCAGAGTAATCTTTAGGGCCTCTAAATTTTCAACCCAGTCTTCAGGATCAGAAGGTAAATTAGGATTTTGTGCAATTTCCTACTTTATAGCATAGTTCCAAATCTTATTTTCACATCAGGCTTCTAAGAAATTTTTAACTGGGTTATATCACTTTCCACTCTTAGGCATCCACGAGACAATTGTAGACGAATTTAGAACTTTTTCACTAGTCAATTTTTTTCTCATTCGGAGTATAGATTTGAAACCAGGTTAGAAATTCGAATCTTCGGGAACTTGACTATACTTTTTTGGAACATTCATGTGGAATTGGACATAAAAGCATGAGATATTACTTTACTTTACTCTAGAGGGATTATGCGAAGTTGGGTTGTTTATGTATCCTTTTTTTTTTTTTTATATGCCTTGTGTTTTATTTTGTATTCTTATCCTCCTAGTGTTTTCTTTGTAAAGATACAGGTTTTAGGTGGAATGTACGGGATGCGAAAGTATGAAGCCACACGTATCAGGTCATGGACATTTAAACTGGGACTTTTAAAATCGGTGTATTCTTTTTATATTACATCTTTGTTTTGTTTTTGATTCTTAATATCTTTATTCTACGACTTTTTGGGGCCGGGCATTATAGGTAGGACGAAATGTAAAATATCAACTCATATATGGAAGGAGCATCGGTATAAGAGGATGGTTATTAGTATAGAAGTATAGAAGCATAAATGTAATAATTTGGGCATGTATGGAGAACAGGTAGGGCATAGACTAGTTTAGATTATAGGACATAGCCATCTTCGAATCAAATTTCTTCAAATAGGCGACCTGGTCCTGTTGTCATTGCCAAGTGTAACTGAAATATTTGGTTTTGGGTGGGTTAGGTCTTTGTTAGAAGAAATATCAAGACGAAGAGGCTTTTATTTAGATAGTTTTTAGGACATGATAGTGGATCATATCTCTTTAAAAGACCAATTTACATCTCTCTTTTATAATTCTTCTATGAATAACTACTATTCTAAATAAATCTTTAAACTGTTTACTGGCTCTGTTATGCAAAATGATTTTATACATAATGATTTATGTGTAACGATCATATATATAACAAACTATGTATAACGAATTTATGCATAACAAAAATAATAAATAGCAAATAACTAAATAAATAAATAAAGAAAAATCTATACTAAGAAAAATAACTTAGTAGTGACCGTATGTAGTACACGAGATCACATGACCACACGATATTATACGTGAAAATACCACTCTGTTACAGTATAGTTTATAGTTAGCTTTGGGTTAGAGTTAGAGTTTTTTTATATTAAATATTTATATATTTCTACCTATATTAAATAAAATCTGTTATGAATCTTTTTTTTTATTAGCTTTGTAATTTACTACATTTCTTTATAAACTAAAATAGAAAAAAATTTTTGTCAAAAATTTTATATTATCTTATTACTATATAAACATGTCTTAAAATTTTTTAAGTTCAACAACTTTTTATTCTATAGTTAAATTCAAGCAATATTGTATTGGGATGTTAATAGTCCTGTCTGGTCATAAATTTGGTCTAAGTTTAGTCTAGTTTTCAGTCTTAAAACTTTGCTAGTCTAGACTAGTACAAACTGGTCTAGTCTTAAAACTTAAAGCAAACCAATTTTTTTTAGGTCTAGACTAGTCTTAATCATTATTATAGAGATGTTAATGGTTGATCCAGTTCAATTCAATTTTATAAATTAGATTAAAAATAAACAAAAACTAAATCAAATTAGAACTAAATAAAATTAAATATAAAAAATTGAACCAAACTAGAATTAAATATAAAAATTAAATTAGACTAAAACCAATATAAAAATAACCAAATTGAATTAAAATTGGACTTGTTTAAGGGTAGGGTGAACATCGATTATTTTTACTAGTGATCATGTTACTAATTTTTTTACAATAACATTTAATTGAAATCAGGTGATGATCATATGATATTTATATTGTGTAACCTAGAAAAATTTTGATCAACTTAGGAAGAATTAATGATATAATACAGGGGTTCAAATTATTATAATTAGAATTAGAAGGGTCTAATCTATCTACCCTAAAACTTTTATGAAAATCAGTTACATTTTTAAAAACTTTTATATGTAACATGTGTTCAATTTTTGTGTAATATTTTTTTGGTTGATCTACTTATATAAGAAATGATCTACATTCACCCTACCCTTAAACTAATTTGATTTGTATATACCCCATGCATATTTTATGCACTTCTTGCATTATTATGCATAGTTATGCGTAATCATGCAAGAGATGCATAAAAATAAAACTAAATAGACTAGTTTAAATAAGTCCAATTTATATTAATCTAATTTATACCAATCCAATTTTATATCAATTCAATTATAATAATTTGTTTTATATTAATTTAATTTATAATAATTCAATCTTATAATAATTTAATTCTATAGTAACTCAATCTTATAATAGTTTAGTTTTATGGTTATTTAGTTTAATAGTCTAAAACTGGACTATTAACATCTCTAGTTATTAAATTTACGCAAAAAAATTTAAACTTGTATTATCTTATAAGTTCACAAAAAAAAATTAAAAGGCAAAGGTTTATTATTAATAAATTCATTATTTTTATTTTTTTAGAGAAAATTTTTCTTAGTTTTATGTAATGTTCTTTATAATCATAAAAAAATTAGTCTGATGGTTCGAAAAGAAAGAAGTTCATTTATTAAACATATGATTTAAAATTCAAAATTCGTTATAGAGAAGCGTTAAATAGAGTCACCTGTATATATGATTAAATGTTAAATGGTTTTTAAAAATAACATGTCATTAAATAAAATATATAAATTTGTTAAGTAATTTTTTTTATAAAAAAATTGTTAAACAACCTTAATGGATATTAATAAAAGAATAAGTGGTTACCAATTTTGAAAGTATTTTGAGGAAAGTTAAATCCGAATATTAAGGCCCCGGACCTCAACAATTCCTGTTTTCTAGTTTAAATTATGAAAATAATAATAATAATTTTAAGTTTCATTGATCGTCATAAGATTTCGTTATTTGCCAATTCGTCAACCAGAAATTGCTTAGTAAAAGGTTTCGTCATTCATCAAGCATATTTATTAAACAGTATTGTAAAATTTCTCTATTATGTACTCTTCTAATTTTACGAGTGCTCACAAGTCTAGAAACAATGCTAGGAAACGTGTTATCCAATAATATACGGGGTTGTCTACAGCATTTAACTTGTGATATTTAATATAACCATAGCTACAAATTTTTTTTGAATTATTTTTCCTATACATATACTATAGATCAAATTTAAACCTATCGGGCATATCTAACTTTGGGTTAATAATAAAGGGCTTTAATTAAGAATGTGTTACACGAATTAATACAGAACAGCTCTTTTAGCTAACCGGTTTTTACTACAATTAATATTAATCTTAAATCCTTTGTCTAATATATTCAAAGTTAATCGTTCCTTATTAGTCTTATTATTATCAAGCTTGAATTTTCCGGTTTAAATTTGCATGTAACCCGATTGGCCTCTATTCAAACTTTCACGCTTTTTAGTAAATTCGTAGTTTACATGAACTTTATTAGAGTGGAGCAACCTCTATATTCAATGAATTGACTAGTATTCATTGACCTATTAATATGTAGTATATAGCATGAAAATTGGCTGTCGGCTACTGTTCAATTGCTTAACAAACGTTTCTTCTTATTTCTAAAAATTTTATAGATACGTAATCATAAAACTTTTATGCACTGCCTAATTGTTCAACTCTAATTGAATAAAGGAATATTTTGAAATCTAATCTTTTTTTTTCATGTTTTACACTCCATTCATATCGTTTCTGGTAATTTCCATTTTGTTTCACACCGTTTCGTCCTTGATATACATAGTACAACTGTAATTTATGCTAAAAGAGTCTCAGGTGAAACTCCGTAACTACACACAATAAACTCAAATTTCTTTTCACTCTATACTGCACATAACATATCTTGAAGGGAATAATACATTAGTCTATTGGTTAAAAGGTAATGAATGAATCTGTTGGTGGAAATTCACTTAATTTTAAATCGGGCGAAGAAACATGTGAGCTGTCAAGTAACATTAATCTGAATACTTAATTTATGCAACATATTAATATTAAAAATCTTCAACAATAGTATTAAAGTATTCAAAATTATTAGAATCCTATTTAGAAGAAAAAGATGTAAAAATATTTGATTACTCACAATTTAGAAACTTTAAACCAATAGTTTATTTGGCTACTTTCGAACAAAATAGTTATGCCTTTGCATAATAACATTCATATGGGTAAAGAAGATATCAGACAACTTATTCGTGAGGTAATAGCATTGTCATTGGGTTTTTAACTTTTAATTTGCCAATTAAATACTTTTATAATCGTAACTAGATTACAAATCTTTATGAGTCTAACCATCCTAATATTATCAAACCTTTTGGAATTTTAAGAAGTATTATAAAAATTTAATTTTTGAAATATTTAATTTTATATTAGTTACGAATGCTTGGTAACAATACTATAAATTAATTTTTAGATCCACAGACGAAGAATATTATGTTAGTATTACAATTCGCAAATAACGGCATACTACGTGTTTATTTACGAAGCAAACAGAGAGAAGGTCTTTATCAAATTTCATGGGTAGAACTTATTCAGATTGCAAAAGAAATTACCAATGGGTTAATATATTTACATGAAAAAGAGATACTTCATCGAGATCTTGTGAGTTGTAAAATTTTTAATTTATACCAAGCGTATTAAATTAAAAATTAAAAATTAAAATTATGTCTCAATTATTTATAAATATTTCATAGCATTCGAAGAATTTTCTTATAAATAATGGTAAAGCCTTAATTGCAGACTTTGGTTTATCAAAAAAATGGATGATTCTTCCAATTAAACAAACATGCAATGTGCTGCTGCATATACTGATCCACAATTTCTTATGCATGGAAATAAGTCTGAACGTAATCAGAAGTCTGACATTTATAGTCTAGGAGTATTGCTCTGGGAACTCACAAGTGGTGTTCCACCATTTTACGGATTAAGCTTTTATACTATGCTCCAAGAAATTTTGAAAGATAAAAGGCAAGAAATTGTTGACGGCACACCTTCCGCCTATGTTAATCTATTTGTTAAATGCTGGTCACTTGATCCTAATGAACGACCAACTTTGAATATAATTTTTGACGAGCTTGAAAAGCTATCTGCTGAAAATATTGAATGCATTACAAATAGAGTTGATATGTGTCAAAAACACGTTTCATCTTTGTCTGACAATTTATCTACGAATGGAAACGAAATTTCTGGTGAGCATAAATTTTAAGTCCTTGAAGTATATAAATTATATGATCTGTATTAACGTTCACTATGATGCATATGATTCAACAACAAGTATAAGTAAAAATTACTTATAATGAATTACTATACCGTGAGTATAAAGCTTAACTCCAATTACGATTTAAACCTCTTCAATAATTCTCGACTTTTTAATCAATGATGTTGAGTTATCGGCATGTGAGTATAAACAATATTTATTTCTAGTAATACATATAGTGTGTGATTATAAATATGATTAAACTTATGTGTCATTTGTTATCTGATTTTGAGATAGGACTAATATCATGTCATATATAGGTCGCTCTCAAGCGTCAAATCTCAATGTGATTAGCAAGTGATCGTAATAGTGCTCAAGCACAATTATATTTACAAAAAATTTTTGCCGAAATTTTGAATATGCAATTTATGACATAATTGAAATCTTCTCAAGCATCAATTTCAATGTGATTAATGAGTGATCGTACTAGTGCTCATTTATTACGATCAATCAAAATAACCATTGAAGTTAATACCTGAGCAGTCCCCTATTGATTTCTATCATTATTTGTCAAATGTCGTCAAAAATTAAAAAAAAAAAACAAACAAAAAAATAAAAAAACAAAAATCTAAGAAAAAACAAATAAAAAAAACAAAAAAACAAACAAAAAAAAAACAAAAGCGTCTATCCAAAAGAAAGTAACAGATGTTACTAATTATCGAAATTCTAGTGAAGCATCAACTTCGAAGAGTAGGAAAATAGTTGCTTGATGATCGCATCTGGGCACTATAAGTGTGCAGATTTGAAAATGTAGAAAGCCAAGGCGCCCTTACACTTGTTACTATATAAATTTAAGTTTTCGTAATTTATTACTATCTTCAATAACATTTATCTGCTTCATCATCTTCTATTGGTTTTATCACCTTTGTAGTTTCGTCAGTTTCGACACCTTTTGTCACCTTTCGCCAGTTTGCACCTTTCGCCAGTTTTGACACCTTTCGACAGTTTCGACATTTTGTCATTTGAGATTTTAATTGACAAAAGTCGAAACTAGGTTTCGACTTTCATCAGCGCGAAACCTCGAGGTTTCGACTAACAACTATAGATAGAGTGAAGTAAATTTTTTAATATCCTCCCTTCTTTTTGTCCCAAATTATATCTAATTTGTTTAGGGAAGTGTTCCTAGAAATGCATTAATTAATGCAACTTCTCCTTCAAATCTTAGATCATTATAATTAATAATTAAAGATTCTAATATATTGCTCTCGCGAAGTGCATCGGCTAATGCAACTTCCTTTTCTGATCCAAGATTATGCAGCAATTCCTGATTATACTATAGCTACTTAATATTTCTTCTGATCTTATATAAGCCAAGATCAAATTATATAAAAAAGTTTTTAAAGTTCCGCCAGGCCCATCAATAAAAAATAAATATATTCCAGAGAACCAGAGTAATCAAAAAGTTGCTTGTACCAATTGCATCAGCAAATTCTTCTATATCGTAATTTTGGAATTTTAAATATTTCAATGTATTGTTTGTACCAAGTGCCTCAGCTAAATGTCTTCCTACAAAACATTTTGGTACTTTCTATTCTGCAAAGACTTAAAGAAGTTATCCTCATGTTTTTGCAAAGAAAATCGCTTAAATTCTTTCCTCCATCGTTACAAATCTGATACCTATGAATACCTAAAGAATTTAACTTTAGGCTTTTTTTCGTAAAGAGGCTTCAATAATTCTTGAAATCTATTAATTCTAACTCGAACTGATGTAAGAATCAATGTTGATTTAGATCTGATTTGATTGATATAAAGATTACAGGTTTTATACGAACTTTTCTAGTTAAGATTTTATTAAGCTTGTGGCGGTGCATGGATTCTAAATTTAAAATATACCTGTTTATACCTTATTACTTTTGGCGATCAATTCATGAGTAAAAAAGATGTAGTATGATTATTGGCGATCTATTTTCAGATAGATCTAATCCAAAAAAGGTATAGTGATTCTATGTACGGTATTGATATGGGCGATAAAAAAACCTTGGCTTGAGAAAAAGCTCATGTCAGTCAACTAAGCCGACCTTTTACTAGCGCTAGTAAATTCTTCCGATCAAAATTAGCCACCATATCTATATCAGGTGGTTTCTTGCCAAATTCTAGTAATTCTGAATTACTTATTTTATGTTCGTTATAAACAAGGTTCGCATCATACAGGATGCAGTATCTTGACCTAAACTATCTAGCGATTTAACTAAAGCGTATTTAAATCTGATTGGTCTGTATGATCAAAATGGGCAATCAGATTCTTTATCCAATTTATCGAAAGATCCTATAGTCGATATTAAAAAAAACTGACTTAGTCACTTAATTAAATAAGTAAAAATCATGAGCTTTGACCAATCAAATCGTTCAAAAAACTCAAGAAGCAAACAATTTCATGATTCTAAAATTTAAAATCCATTGAGCGATTTGAATCCACAGATATCACTCTAGAATAGAACACAAGACTTGAGTATATATTTAATATTATTTCGTGAAGATACTCGGGTATAAAGTAGGCTTGGGAGATCAATGATGTATGTTGACAAGAGTCAACTGATCGAGAATGGTCAGGGTTACATACCGTATGCTACAACCCTGCCTGATAACATGGGTTGGGATCGAGAGATCAGATTTCAGAAATTTCATGCGAATGAAGCGATGTAACCGAAAGCTACCGACAACAATCAGTATTTAAAGAAGCGACAAATAACTGATTTGCGACACTCGTTCCTCTTTCGACAAACCAAGCATTACAACCGTCTCTTTTTTCTCGACCCAACCCTTCCCACCACACATTGTAATCTCCTGATTCTGCCATTTTCCTATTTAACAGCTGACCTGCTTCGAGCAGACGGGAAACCACCAGCTGATGCTGCTTCTAACTCATTCTCTGTTACGATGATACCCGGCGCAATCCCACTTTCTAATTTTCTCGGGAGCATATCGTTTCAGTTCAAATTACTCAGCTTAAATCACTCAGCTCAAATTACTCACAAGTATTCTGCGGACTTAAAGTCCTTTAATTGAATTTATTTCCGGCACCTTTGGCTTGCCGGCATTATTCCAATCACATGACCATTCGTACTTATTGTTTTTCGTGTCCAATAAAAGCAAATTTCAAAATAACACAAAATATCATCACGGGTTTCTGCTTTTAATAAATAAAAATATATGTAATTTATCACAATGTAATGTATTGCTAGCTCATAAATTAACAGTGGGTTTTGAAGTTAACAAATAAGTGGCGCATTTTAAAATTAAATGAGAGTTTGAAAAATCTTATTTGTTTTTAAGATTTTAAAATCGGAAAATGAATGGGGATCCCTCATGAAAGCGCAAAAAAAAAAAAATAATAATAAGTAAAACTTTCGTTCAAATTTAAGATCAGATCAGATTGCCGGATCACTTATTTCAAAATAATTATATCAAGCTTATCTGAATAATCGATTGATAAATGATCATTGTATTTAGATTAAATCAGTGCGAATTGGAGGATGAGAGATATGGTCATGGTAGTTATGCATAAGCTAAATCAATACAAAAAAGAAAAAATTAAATGAAAGACGAATAGCTTAAATACTTATATTAGGGATTTCAAACAATAATTTGCATTTCATAAATAAATAAGATTTTTCAAATAGTATTTTAATTATGTAGGATTATACTTTAAGAACAGAAAAAGTAAAATAAAATTTTTAATTTTAAATTTATTGAATAGATATATCTATTAGAACCGTATGAAATAGAATAAATTAAGAAATAAATGTCTATATTAAATATGCAATTGGCAAATAATCGTTGCATTTATCTAGAATAAAAAGAATTAGATGTGCTTACTTTAAATACCTCAATCAATAAATTAGAAATAAACAGCTTATATTGATTTTCGAATGATCGCTATTGACTAAAGGTGTTCTCAAATATCTCCTCAATGTGATTTGCTAGTATTAATTGAAGCATCATTGCTGAAGATTCATAGTGTGAAATGTGGGTTGTAAACTTTAGCCAATAAGCGTAACTTTATGGTAAAGAAAGATGGTCTCGATCATCTTTTCTTCATTGCGAAGATTGGGTCTACTATAGATTCAAAATCGATGGAATGTAACAGACCCGGGTCTTTTATATGGACGTTTACGATATTATTTAACCATTAAACTGATTAATTGCATCTAATTGATAAATATTATCTTGTCGATTACTAATATAACAATGTACTGTATTTGAAATTGTGATTTTTCTAAAAAATTGCTACTACTCAGAAATATTTCGTAAAAATAATAATTAATTAGGTAAATATAAATAAATAAATAAATAAAACATAGTGAATATAAATTTATTAATTAATTTATTTATTTATTTATATTAAGTAGTATATTTTGAAATCTTACACGTAATTATAGTGCAAATATTAATTTGCAAAATTTGAAATATATGAGTAGCAAGACTCGATGTTTTAGATATTTTGCATCATACCCATATTATCTAATCGAGTTACGGTAATTCATAAATTTACGTTCCTGGTTTCGCGTGATAGCGTTGCGCAGCTACCTTATGATTATATTGCAAATTAAATTATGTTCGTACGCAAAGCCTTGCTCCTTATTGGCGAAGCAAAGATGTGAATGCATATCAAGATTTTACACGTTGTACCTTGTGAGCAGCTCCCCGGCAGTCACGAGACATTTTTTTATTTTTATATGTGTTATTATATATTCTTTTTATTTTATTTCTTATATATTATTAGCATTATTTAGTCATTAGTACTATATACGGGAAGAAAAGATCGGCACTACTAATTATAGACTCTCATAGAGAGGGACAAATTGTCCCTAGAGACATTTGTCCCCATCTAAGCCGATACCAGTTTGTAACTACTACTGAAAATGAATTGTATCGCGCTTCTTGTTTAAAAGTAAGATAGTAGAAAATTATCCGTTATGTACGCGACAAAGGTCGAAAAGTATAAAAGA